GAGCTAAGGCGTGGCCGAAGGGCTTCCCCTCCGGATCCGCCTCAGCTGTGCTGCGCTCTCTACCCCACTTACCTTAGGGGAAATCAGCTGTTGCTGCCCCCGCCGCTGGCTTCCTCCGCTGCTGCTTCCGTTGCTGCCGCCTCCGCCGAGGTAAGCAGGTACACGTGTGGGTGGCACACGTGCACCCTGCTCCCCTCGCTCCTGCTCCCCAACTGCCCCCAACTTCTCCTGTGTTGTTTACAAACCCTTCAGAACTGGCACACCCTAATTATCCAACCCACAATATTAATCCTTGATCCCTTCTAGGAATTAGTTCTGCTGTGCCATCTTGCATCTGTATGGTGTTTTTCATCCTGAAATTTATAAGTGCCTAGCCAAAGGTATGTGAGGCACAAAGATTGACTTGTCCAAGGTGACACAGTAAGTAATTGGAGAGCTCCTGATTTTGAGTCCCATGTGATGACCCACTAGGCAACTGTCACAGTAACATAACCCTGGTAGTAATTTTTGCCTGGGAAAGTAATATATCTACCTCACTGTCATCATTAAGATGTTGGTGGCAGGGTGGATGGTGTTTCAGAAGAAGCAAGGAGGTTGTTTGGCAGGTCAGTCTTCCTTTTCTAGGTGTAGAATTGAATGGTAAGGAAAGGAGATTATTTATGTTCACATGCAGTCTTTCCCCTCATGAAGAGAGCCTTCATGAGTGGGCTGCTTTCTCCTCATTTTAATGCTTTTCATTAGGTTTAGTGTCAGAAAGCCTCCACACTCTTCCAACCTGCTCTCTGAAGGGCATTAGAATTTTAAGGGCACACTTTTAAAATTCTCTAACAGCTGACAGTATGTCTTTCTTTTTCAGGGTGCCATCATGGGAAATTGAACAGTAGCAGCATGTCGCATGGTAAGGGATCCTTTTCGTACCATTGGACAGACTTTGTCAGACACACGCATGTGTTCAGTGTGGACCATACTGGAATTCATATTACCCAAATATTGCTCTGCAACCTCAGTTCTGTTTCCTTTAACCAAAAGATTTGTGTGTCAGTAGCAGGCTTGGATAGTGATCATCTAAGATATAAAGCTCTTCCACTTGCAGAGGAAGGGGTTTTGTCCTATGAAAGTAAAGGCTTAAGGTACTAATAATGCAGCTGCCATTATACTGGCAGGAGGGTCCCTTACTGGTAGAGCTTTTTCCTGGTCAGGGAACTCAGTTAAGCTATACTCTTCCTGGTGTGAGCTACTTCTCTATTAGAAAGCTTTGGTGTCAGTGCTATTCTGGAAAACCATTCTGCATGTAGATAGGGCCCAACTGACTAATTGTAGGTCTAATTATACAGCTGCAGTTATACTGGTGTAATTCCATATGTAGACAAGCACTTAAGAAATTTACCCTGGGCAACTGGTATTAGAAGAATTGCATGGTGGTGATCTTTCTCCCCTCCCTCCTCCAACTTTAAATTGTGGGAGGCCTTCATGATAGGGGTGATCTAGGAGTACAAAAGCAAAGTAGTAAGCCTGCTTTCAGATGTCAAATTTGAAGGAAGGTAAGAGGAAATGGGAGGAAGCTCTTTCAAATGCTGTTCACATAAAACACTTCTCGCAGTACATTTTCAGTATTGGTGTCCATGGGCTCTATTCCACCTCACTGGGGTCTCAATGTACCCAAAGGCTCTGCTGGATTCCTTGGGGGGGTTACCTTCTGCTTGGTGAGAAATGAATGGCAAGTTGCTCTCCAGCTTGACTAGTTAGGCTTGGGATTCCTGCCTTGACTAGCAGGGAAGAGAGGCGTCATACTCTCCCAGCATACTCGCTACAGTGCAAAAACAAAAGTGACTTGGAGTTGATTGTGTAGCTTTTCCTAAGAGAGATTCTTTCCTTTCTGGCACGGCCTGATGAGCCATGAAATGGGTAACAGTGTTGACATGCAAAGTACTATTATCAGGCATCTGAATTAGTACCATTGAAATGAGTAGGGCAGGTTACACTTCTGGACTTATGCTTCAGGTTCTGAAAACAACAGGTGTCACTGCACCTGTTACTCAGCTTATATCTTTGAGGAAATCTCAGCAACAAACACAGCCACAGGCTTTCAACAAAAGTCTCTTATAAAGAGAGTGAATAAAAAAGATTGGCTCATTTAGTTCAGCAAACAAAAGCTGAGACAGGATATGAATGCTGTGTGTGAAAACATTGGAGATAAACACCAGGGAAGCAAAAGAACATTTTTAATTTATAAAATAATGCTGGCACAAGAACAAATGGGTATATACTGGCAATGACCAAATTTAGGCTGAAAATTTAACCTCAGAGGAGTGAATTGAGTACAACCTTTCAGTAGGATAACAGAGGCCAAAAAGAAAAAAAACCTAGCTAATTTTGAGAGAGTGCTTGACTGACACATTAAAAGGATTAGATGATGTTGGGTGCCTGTGATGGCAGGAAGCTGAACTCAGCACCCTTGGAGGTCTCTTCCAGTCTTACATTCCTGTGTTGGACCTGCACATGAGATCAAAATGACCGTGACTGTCTATCTCTGTGTCTTGGAGCTGGGATTGCTTGCTTGGGGACCCAATTGGGACTGGAAGTTCCACTCTTCCAGGAGTAGGGGAGGAATGTTTGTTAGGAGAAAGTTGCTCTTTCACTAGATCATTGATGTAGCTCTCCATCAAGAGGGAAGGGAGGCCTCCCTTGAGAAAGGGCTCTTTGGGGAGTTAGTCATGCAACACTGTATGTGCATATGGTGGTTACACAGGTACGGTTTTAGCAAGTGTTACAATTGATTCATTCCACTATCTTTTTATTATTCCCTTCAGAACTGTTACCCCCAGACATGCCTCCTCCAAAACTGAAGCCCCAGAAGGTTTGGTTGGTGTACTCTGCTGACCACTCGCTGTATGTAGATGTGGTGCTGAAGTTTGCCCAGTTCATGATCACAGTCTGTGGTACTGAGGTAGTTCTGGACCTGCTGGAAGGGCATCAGATCTCAGAGATGGGAGCCATACCCTGGCTTACTCAACAGAAAAAGGAAATGGAAAAGCTTTCTTCAAAGATCATCGTTTTGTGTTCTCGGGGCACCCGTGCCAAGTGGCAGGCCATGCTTGGGAAGGAGGCTGTGCATCTCAAACAAGATCAGCAGCATCCAGCAGGAGATTTGTTCACGCCAGCCTTTAATTTGATCCTGCCAGATTTCAAGAAACCAGCTTGTTTTGGCATGTATATAGTGTGCTATTTTGCAGGTATAAGTAATGATGAGGACGTTCCTGACCCATTCAATGTCACATCCAAGTACGAGCTGATGGACAGGTTTGAAGACATTTACTTTCGGATCCAAGATATAGAAAAATTTGAGCCAGGGAGAATCCATAGAATCCAGGAGATCACACCTGAAAATTGTTTTGAAAACCCCAGTGGCTGGAAGTTGAAGGAGGCTGTGCAAAAATTCCAGGATTGGCAGGCAGAGCATCCAGACTGGTTTGAAAAAGAGATCTGCTCTGAGGAAGAGGAGGACCTGCAGTCTCTGGATAGAGAAAGCCCTGAAGAATTAATACCCATGGAAGAGGGAATTATGAAGCAGCAGTTGTGTCTTCAGGAGCCTGATCCCAGTGGCTGCTACATGGTCAGTCTCCATATAAATGAAATTGAAGGCAAAAGCTGTAAACTGCAGCCTCAGTTTAATCCACCTGGAGATCCAACTTTCCAGACTATGATAATTCCCATGGAGGAAGTTCCTCCAGTTCAGATGATGGAGCCACTCTCTCTCCAAGATAGTAAAAATGCAGTCAGTCATCAGGTGCTGACCAATGAGGACTGGATGGAAGGAATCCCCCTCCTGGCAACCAGTGTCCCAATGAGAAATAGCATTCTATTCTATGAAGACCTTAACGCCACATCATCAGACAGCCAGATATTGACAGACCACCTTCAGGCTGAATTGAACGAACAGCTGAATGGTTTAATGTACTCTCTCTACCAGCGAAATGTCATTCCTTCTGAGCCATCTCTTTGCCAAGAAGAGGCTGAAGAGCAGCAGCAGCAGCTGGTCTTCAATGACCAATCCAAAGATCAAAGACAGTCAGTGCAGTCTGACCAGGGCTACATCTCGAGATGTTCCCCTTTGCCTCCTGATGATCCTGTCGAAGAGGAGGAGGAAGAGGAAGAACAGGGAAGCCAGATGCCTGCACAACACCTCTCTCCAGAAATACTGGACAGCTTAAAGAGTCTCCAGCAGCAGCTGCTTTTCCAGGAAATTCAGCAGAACAATAGCTGGGAGTATATAGGTATAATGAGAGACACAGGCCATTCTGTAGAGGACTCTTAGATCTATCCAGGGGTCACTGCATTTGAAAAATGGGTATGGAAGCAGGTGGTGTGTAGACATGCAGCATTCAACTGCAAGGTGTCTCCTGATCTTTTATAACAAGTGACCTAGGCTATTGGTTGGAACTTGTTAATACCAGCCCTCAGGGAAAGGATTGTGCTTCTGAATACAGTATGATCTACCCATTTGGCTTTTGGAGCCAAGCTGTTGCTTTAAATCTCTGAATGGGAGAAGATGGCTCAATTTTTAAAATATCCCATGAGGTGACTAGTACTAATTCTGTTGCTCAAGAAATGTACAACATACATTCCACTGATTACAAGCAAATGTATTGCCAGCCATCATTTTGTAGCCTTGAAGATTCATATCATGCCATCATGATTGCAAAAGACATAAATCAGGGTTAAGAAGAAGAGAATAGACTTGATGGAAAACAAGTTTGCATTAACAATTTAATAGCTAAGCTTTATTGTAAATGCTGCAATAAATAACTTGTGCCTCAAGTCACCATGGGTGGTGACAGATCCAAACAGACCTACCTGTGCTAATACCTGGGTTTGGAGATTTTCCAGTGTGATCCACTTATGCTGGCATTTCTGTATTTGCACCAACGTTAAGAAATAAAGTTGAATGCCTGAGCAAAAATCAAGATGAAATATTTAAAACCAGGTAGCTTTGCGTATAGACATAAACAATAGCCTGAAGGGTAAAAGGGAGCAGGGCTTAACTTTGTTAGCTACTCTTTGGTAACTGTCTGTGTGTGTGTGTTTACCCCAGGGTAAATAGAAGCCAACCTGGAGGAAATTACACCTTTCCCCCGAGGGATAAGTTACCAGGGTTTACTTCTGGGTAGAAGCATCTACATGGGCAGTTACCATAGAGCAACCATACCCTCTTTGACAACACATTAAGCTGTTTATGTGTACATATCTTTTGTCTCCTCTGTCTTTCCTCCCGAGCCTATGATAGAGTGGGAGGAAGACACCTGCCAGGTAACAACAGCAAAAGTAGCATAGGGATGATGGACAAAAAATGGTATAGGAATTTGCAGTGCAATTACATCGGTGAACAAGGAACTAACTAATGTGCCTTGGGGCTGCAATACCCAGGCTTCAAATCAGGGTGGAAATAAGTGTCTCCTATATTGCACTGCTGGTGCTGCATCCATAACTCTGTGATGTCTCTATGCATCTCAATACTAGGCAAGTTTCAGACTGGAGATTTGGTGGGAACAGCAATGAACACAGTCAAATGTCTAAATTTCTATAAAGAAAGATTTTTAACAGTAAGCATAGCTTGAACAGATGTTATCTGAAGAGTAGGAAGGGTATTTTAAAGAAATTTTGGAGTGAGATGAATGCAAGGTGGTTCCTGGAGGTAATTAGCAATAGCATAAATTTTGAGCAAAGGAAGTTTGGGCTGAACCCTGAGAGATGTTTCCCACTACCAGACTAACAGTCTCCCAAGAGTGGCCATGGAAATGCCATCAAGTGAGACAGTCTAAACCTGGGCTTGATGAGCTTCAGAGAATATTTCCCAGTGGCCAGTGCAGCATTTAACTTTTCTGGGCAAACTACATAGATCTTGAAATCTACATGATGTGCAAACTCCTGTACAGCTATAGTTTTTACCTTGGACACGGCAATGGCTTGGTCACCTCAGCCAGCTGGGGGAACAGTTTCTTGAGGCTTTTTTGTCTTTTCCCCTTGCGCACTCAAGTAAGGCTGCAAGTAAACCTTATTTATTGCACCTCTGTATCAAAGAGCAAGAGATCAGTAGCATAACAGAGGGGGAGGCAACTGGGGCAGCAACCCTGGGTGCTGCCTTGGAGGAGTAAGGGTGCAAAAAAGCATTTGCTGGAATGGCAGCTGGATGTGCCACTGCCACAGGCACTGTGGCAGCTAGCACTGCCCTTTGCAAAGGTATGGCCCCGGGCATGGAGCTGCCCAGCTACACCTCTGCAAGAAGTGATCTTTGTGCCTTGCATTAAGATAAAACATTTTTCAATGTCTAAAGTAGCATAGAAGTCTTTTTTTAAATCTCTAAACATTGTATCTAAGCTACTTGAAGTGTCTCTTGTGATTTTTTTTTAATTGGTTGTCTTTAAATATGGAATTTCAATTCATAATTTTATTAACTATTATTCTACCAATTGTGATGATGCATCCAGTGCTGTTATATATTTTTATAAAATTTATACAGTGCTTTACTAATGTTGCTTTTATAATTAAAGGCATTACCCACTGAAATGCATGAAGTATTGATTTTTTGGAAAAGGTAATAAGGTTGTAGGAAAGTAGGGCTGGAAGGAATTCAAAAGGTCATCTAGTCCAGCCCCCTGTTTGAGGCAGGACCATCTGTAACTAAACCATTTCAGCCACGTGTCAGTCCAAACTGCTCTAGAAATCTTCAAGGATGGAGATTCCACAATGTCTCCAAGGTAGCTTCTTCCAAGGACTGACCTCCTAAGTCCCTCCTAATGCCCACCTAAATTGGAGCTGCAGCTTCAGTCCATTGCCCCTAGTCCTGTCCCCTATGGCCACATATTTTATCAATACAAAGATGTATTTGTTTGTGCTTCATTCAAGATTTGAATAGTGGTCCACAAATCTATTATAATGGGATCTTGGCCTGCTTGCAGCTTGGTGGAACCTTGGGTCACTGACAGAAGACTAATGCCTCAAAAAAGTTCCTTCTGATGAGAGAAATTCCACTGCCTTAAGAATTTAACTCTACCTTCCTAAATTACAGATTCTGCTAAATAGCCTCTGAAGCTTAACAGCTTCTTCTGCAAAGCTTACAAAAATCTTTCCTCTCTTTACCTCTGACAACAAACCCAAGTGTTTGGTTGTCAATTTATATTTCTATTCTAGATCTGTCTCTGGGGTGGGCCAGAACCATGAATCATTACTCAAGAAAAAGAAATTTTCAAATAAGCATACATGCTACCTTTCTCACCATACTAAGATTCCACAGGATTTTTTAGAATAAGAGTTTGATAGAACAAGTTTCTGCCACCTATTAGACTTACCTTGGGCAGAGAACTTTTGATTCCAAAGACCAGTTGATTTAAATAAGTAGCAAAGTAAACAGACCAAGGTAAAAAATCTTGTGCAGATGCCATGGTCCTGAACTCTCAGTAGTTGCTGGCCACTGCCTTGAATGCCCTTTGATTTCCACCTACCACTTGTATGCACACATTCCTCTAGAGCTCAAAGCACTGACACATGAATTGTCACAGAAACAGACACCAAATATTAAACCATTCCTTAAAAAAAAAGGGCTATCTGGCACAATGGAAGAAGGTAGGGCATGGTAGCACTTTGGAGACTGAGTTAGAGAGCCATTAGCTTGTATAGGCAACAACCTAGTTCATTCATTGCATCTGATAAAGTAGGCTGTTGACTAAAATCTCATGCCTCTTTAGTTTAAAGTACCCCCACTCCTGTCTGCCTGACTTCAGACAAACACAGCTGGCCACCTCTCTGGTGTAATGGAGTGACACTTCTCATTAAAAAGGCTTACATACAGCCATCCACTTCTCTGTAGAATCAGCCAGTTGAAGGCAGACCATCAAACATAACTTTCCTTCTATGTGGCCAGAAAAATTGGCAAATGGAAAAGCTCCAACAAAAACAGCTTAGTCCCAGCTAAAAAATAGCTAAATTGCTATTTATTACTTGTTTAGCCCAACTATGATAGGTCTTGTACAAGACCTAAAATGTTCTTCCCATGCTCCACAATGAGCTGTCCTCATAACCACTAGAATAGAAGCAAATTTCATCTCTTAGGTAGTGAAAGATGTGGATTTAGAAAAAGCCCCCAAACTTCTGTTTCACAGCTTTATAGTAGAAACATTTGCCATGAGTTCTTTCTATGCCTTACAAAAACATTTGTTGTAAGTAAGGAGCTCAGAAGTGTTTCACTTAAACTGTTATCAATTTGCTCATCCACCTCTGGAAAAGTTGCTCTTTGAGTTAAAATTCACCATTTTGTTCTGACAGGATGCTCATTTGAAGAAAATCTGTTTGTGTACTTCCAGCCGGGGGAGAGGACACAAATAATTTTGAATATTTTATTGTAACTGTTGATATTTAATTTTTAAGGTAATGTGCAGTAGTATGGTAATAAGAAATCAAAGGTAACTAAACACAAGAAAAGTTGATCACAAGTTTCTCATTTTATTTTAAGAACAAATCTCATTTTTAAAAAATACAAGCTCTGATTAGATGCTAGGTGGGATGTCAAGCCTCCTCCTGCCACACAGCCTATTCCTTTCTATAATTTCATTTTCCCCTCCTTGGAGTTGGGTAGACACACTCAGATGAAGGAGGTACAAAAATGCATCTCAGGAGAGCACAACAAGCCTAAATAAGTTCTGATGCAGGACTACTTTGCATGCTGGAGTTACATAGATAGGAGCCTGTACCTTCCAATGGTACAATGTGGCTTACCAAAATATTGACTTAATCCAGGAGCTTGTTTAAAGTGGAAGCGACAGGCAACATAACATGCCTTCAAGGTGTTTGGGGTAAGGGGCATTATTTGCAACCAGAAAAGTACAATTGTTCATTCCTCTCTCATAAAGGTTTTTGGAGCAGAACAATGTGAATGAAAGTAGAGGTTAAATTCTACATGGGGGTGAAGAAAGTTATAGCGGACTTAAACTCCACTTAAACTATTTTAACATAATGGGTGATTAGCATTGGTATTATTATAGCTGTCATTTTTGCTGCAAGGGGATTCCTTAAACCAGCTAGCTCAACAAAGCATTCACTAGAAGTCTGGTACCAACTGGCAAGTATCCAGGAAACAATGGCAGTTAATAAAAGTCGCACCCTGTACTGAAGCTTTTCTACAAGAGAACCAATATGGCAAAACACCTATTCTGAGACTTAGGTGTTCAGCACAATTTTGAACTGAAGAACAAATTTAATATACAAGATTAACACAATGCTTTGTAGCCTCTTGTTGAAAGTGGCCACATCTATATGAAACGCTGACTGCACAGTTGGCCGATACTACTATGCAATAGCATAACATGGCAACAGCGATGTGACGCTAGTGCACAGTAGTATTTAAACAAGTACTAAATGACTGCACAGTAACCTGAGTTACTGCACAGTAGCGCCGACAAATGTCTGTTTTGTGACATGTATAAACAAATACTAAATGACTGTGCAGTAATGACCGCACAGTCAGCATCTCAGAGGCAGCCACTAAAGACCAAGGAAACTCATCTATAGGCAAAGGTCCAATATACCTCCTTTCACACCAATGTCTATTAGAAAAATGAACTTGTTGTATTTACATGTGCATTAATGCACTTTAGTTAATAAGCATTCAACCTAGTACCTCCATTGCGAGGTACTAAGAAAATGTGCATTAGCTTATCTTAATGCACATTAATTAAAGACACAGGGCCCCTATATATAAGCATGCATGCTGCTCTGATGTGCTGGAGCAGACTCGATTGAGTCTGCTGAAGCATAGCAATTGCCATGCTCCAGTAGCCTCCTGTGTCTTGTGTTTCAGCATCCCCATGCTTAAAAATGGCGGCAGGGCACTTGAACTATAGCTTGTAGTTTAATTAAAGCGCAACTCCCCACCCCTGGAGCACATGTAAAAGTGCTCACAGTTTTTAAGTGATGCTTAATGTGCATTAGCCTGTTTCAATGCACATTAGCAAAAGCGCACGGTTTTAATGCACATTAAAATAAGCTAATGAGCATGAAAGCACGTGTAAACATGCCTGCGGTTGACCAGTAGCTCTATTGCTCATCACCTACAACAAAGAAAATGGAATGTGTCAGATTTATGGTGGGTATATCTAGGCGTGCTTTTACGCATGTCTAAACTTAATGCATATTAGCCTAATGTGCATTAAGGCAATTTAGGTGTGTTTCTACACATGCACATGCTAAGGTGCATTAGCACAGGTGTGCAGACTGACTTGGGACTGAAGTTAGTCCTAAATCAATTAATACATGCTATGTTAATGCACATTAACACATCTACACATTCGCTAATGGGGCTTAGCTATTTGCACATAAATTTGATACCTGCTTCAAGCCTAAAATCACCATTTTTAAGTCGCATTAAGGATGCGCACATGTAGATAAGCATCCTTAATGCACCTTAAATTGGGGTAACGCACATTAAATGCGCACATGTAGACACACCCTGTCTGAATTATACTTGTGCCCAAATAATTTAAACCTGCCAAATACCTTGTACGCAGTGCACTGTTAAACCACTGGCAGCTTTACTAGAAGCACGAACAGCAACATTTGTTTCCTTTCTCTTGACAGCTTTTTCTATGCTATACCTTGCCTGTTTGACTGCATAGAGTGGAATACTGTTAGGCTAGGATACCTAAGAGTTGCCTGTTTTTTTTAATGGTACTTTGGTTCCTTTTTGAGTTTAAATATTAAAAAGGAGGGGGAAGATCCCCTACCTGAATGCAGATATTCCAGTTTCTTCTCTCCCTTTGGCCAGGAAACGAGCATCCCCCTAGGCACCTTTCAGATCACATAGGAAAAGTTCACAGTACTGAGTTTTACAATCACAGTCACTCACAGCACCAAGATTGTCCAGACAAATGAAAAGAAATTACTCAAGAGAAGGCCACTGGCCAAATTTCACACTGTTGCCCAAAACAAGCACTTTGTTTAGGGCTCAGATAAAAATAAAGCACTGGTGGGAAAATTAAGCCTAGTCTTTGCTGCCTCTGGCTGGCTTGGGAAGAGTAGCAAATCACCCTTACCAGCTGCAGCTTTAACAGAAGGGCACTTTGGGTCCTTCCTTTCTGTGTCACAGCTGAAGCTAGCCAGCCACCCAGGACTGGGGAGAGAAGAGGCTACCACAGGTCACCTGTGGGAAGCAGAGAGGAGTCATGGACTGTAAACATTGTGTAATCGCAGTGCTCTAGAGGAGGACCTCTACCCTGCTCTGAGTGGGGTAGTGACAGCAGTAGCTCCGGCTCTAGTGTCATCCCTCCCAGTGAAGCCCAAGAGTTGAAATAAGGAATTTATGTACATGCACAGGAAAAGTCCCAGCTGTGCGTATGATTCTGGCACTGGCTGTGGAGAGCTGCTGCACTTTGTTCCCTTTCCCATATGGGCAGCTTGGAAAAAAGGCTCTGGACAGCAGAGTGCCTACCATCCCATGTGAATGCATTTCTGTCAAGAAACAACTGGGAGGGGACAAAGCTTTCCCTTCCTAGTTCCTTCTGTTCAGCATCTTGGGTTCCTGGGGCAGCTACAGCCAGCTAATGAATCAGGCTTAAGCTGCCCCAAACATCCATGGAGCTCAAACACCAAGGACAGCTGTATTCCATGAAATGGCATCACAGTTACCTTCTTCCCCCCAGCCTTTAGCCATATGCACATATGGATGACAGACAATGCCAAGATGTGGGGGATGGGTCTCACCAAGACAGGTAAACTGTGGTGTGCAACTTTGTCCCATGCAGGTGGCTCATCATAGCACTTCCCTGCCCAGGTCTGGAAGTCAAATGAGGTTCATCCAGCTGTTCCAAGCAGCACCAAGATTCCCCTGCTGGTAGCAAGGAAGACAGTTGGCAGGTTCCAGTCTCAGGTCTGTTCTTCAAAGTTGGTGCAAATGGAAGGTTCACAGTTGCTGGACCAAATCTTCCCAGCCTGCCTAAGCTGAGTGGAGGGTGCCCTTATTGTCAGTGTAAAAAAAAACAAAACAAAACACAACAATGATCCTTAAAACATGCATATTCACAGAAAACTGGGAGCCCCAGCAAGTGGCTGCTGCTGCCTGAAACAAGCAGGTGCCTGTTGTTAGACCCTGTTCTCACCAGAAATAAATGTCTCTTTTTTGTTTTGTTTTGTTTTGTTTTGTTGGGGGGGGGAGGGAGACTCAGCCCCCTGGTGTAGGCCCATTTCAGACTCACTTGTTCTTTTAGCACAAGATGCAACAAAGTTGAAGCACAGAGGTAGACATTTTCAGCAAGGAGACAAGTGGCTTCCCTTGAAATTGCTAGACCAGCAGCCTCAGTTCCCAGAAAAGAAGCTCACTCCATGGGGGATTCGGAGGCCCTTTTTTTTCCGTGTCTCAGCAGATGTAAAACAGAGACGGCGCCTCTGTAGGCTATAAGAAGACTAAAAGCAAGCATCTTCTTTGTGGTCTTGCATATACCCCAAGGACAGACGTGTAGAGGAGATTGTGGCCACTTAGTTCCTTCTCACATTCAACCCATCAGGATTTCTAAGTGCCATCAAGGCCAGAATCCAGTCCACCCTTGACGCAGGGAAACAAAATGAAACTCATTTTGTTAATGAGGGGCACCTTGATGAGATGTTTTGGCACACAGCAAGGGGGAAACAGACCTGGGCTTTGAGACGCTATGAAGGGGCCAGAAGCTAGAAGGAAAAGCTGCTGCAAGGAGCAAGGGCTTCTGCCTTCCTCCCGGCAGATAGCCTGCGCTGCGTGTCCGACGGCTGCCGAGAGGCTCCTTCCTGGGAAAGGCAGGGGGAGACCGGCATGGAAAGAACCGGCAGCTTTTTCCAGCCGTCAGTCATAACAGTTCGGGGCAATGCGGGACCCTGAGCGGCAAGGCAGAGCAGCTCTGCCAGGGAGGAAGGACTGGAAAGAAGAGCCAGCTCAGCCAGGTGGGGAGAGGATCCCGTTCCCCTTGTTCCTGAGCTCTGGGGCAGAAGGGGCCGGCAGAAGGCCTGGAGGGCAACGGCGACACCCTTCCCGGCCTTCGCCTCCTGGGCGAAGCCCCTCAGCTCTGGGCTACAGCCAGGGTGTTGATGTAGCCGTGCGGGCCCACGTCGTTGTCAGAGATGCAGCGGGCCAGCGGGGCGGCCCCGGGTCCCGGCCCGGGCCCGGGGG